CAGTCACAATATCAACTAAAGAGACTAGTGACGTAGCATGTTTGGAAGCCTCTAATTTTTTTAGAAAGAATTAAATAATCCTTTTAGTTTTAATAAATAATTTATTAGTTTCTATTTCTAATTCTAATCTATTTATAATTTATTTTTTTATGTTTTAATAATTAGAAAAATAAAAAAATAGATAAAAAGTATAGTAAGATGGATGAAAAAAAAAACCTTTTTTTAAATAAAATAATATGAAATTAATCATGATTAAAGAATTTTTTTCTAAAAAAAATCTTACTTTCATTGATAAATCGTATACGATTTGTTGTCCCATTAATTTTTTTCTTCAAACAAAAACAAAAACTTGTCAAATTGTATCCAATCTTTATCATTTTTATTCTTAATTTAATTAGGCAAGTGCCGCGAGGGAAGGAAAAGGAAGGTGAAAAAATGCAGCTAAAAGACACAGCTAAAGGTAACCTTTAGAGCAAGTTAACAATACGCAAACAATAAACACACTGACGACGACGAAAAATGCAAATTTTGGTCCTAATTAATTTGGCTAGGCTCACGTGAATGTAAGAGAAGAAGCACTAAGCTAGGAGTATGCATATTCAATAATTTCTCCTAATAATGGTGGTAGAAGGAGAGACTATTTACATGCTAGCTTTATATTGGACGGTTACATGCTAACCCACGGCGTTTGATGAAACAAAAATGTTTTTTTTTCCCTCCAATTCAATGATTTCCTAATATCATTTTTGTTTCGTCACCAACAATAATACGCTGGCAAGCTGTATTCTTTTATTGTTTCATCATCATCATTTCTCCGTCGTGCATTGTTGTTGTCCATCATTACTCATATGACAAAAGTACCATGGGTCTTGCATGCTGGATAACCGACGGGTAGAGTCGCATCTTGATGCCAATCAGAAGTCATGGAAGAATTGTGGTTCATGGAGTATTTGAGAAAGAAGCTTTAGCATGCTAGGGCGTGGCCGACATATAACTTCCAGTAGCTGTGCCTTCGGCATAGTGAACCCGGGTCCCTCAGTCGTATCCATCCCGTCATTTTTATCGTGAGCTGTGCATATATCGAAATTTTGTATAATTGAAATTTTTTCATTGAGAGTTATAAATTTTTTTTATCTAATTTAAGAATTTTATTATTTTATTATTATTGTTTTAAATTTTAATATACTACATAAGCATATATGGTAAATTCTAACAAAAAACTAATTGTCACGTATTATAATGAATTCAAATTAAGTAATTGAATTGATCGATGTAGCAAGTTGTTATTAGTTGAATCCGAAACAATAACAATATAAAAAAAAAACTCTTACATTGAATAAAAAAAAATCTAAATTATACATGATTTCAATATACATATTACACATTAATAATACATGTACCGTAGTTCCTATAGAGGCTAGTATTGGAGCTAACTTAAATATCATCTATATTTTTGCTATTTTATTTAGTGAATATATATAATTATTATAAGTCCGATAAATCTAACTTAAATATCCAATCTTTACTTTTTAACTAAATTTTACTTTGTAAATACCGACAATTCTTCTCTTTATTTTTCTATTTATATTGCAAACTCTATAAAAATCAATCTAAATTTCTAACTTTATTTTGTGATTAAGTTTTAATTTATAATTGTGAATATATGTTAATAAGAAAATGATTATTAATTAAGAATAAGAAAAATTAGTATGTTAGTATTTCTTGGTATTATATATAATATTTCTATATCAAGTGCTAAATGATATATCTTTCCATAGAAAATAATAATAAGCAGTCTGTGATGTAAGTTAAATAGTTGATGTGTTCTGTTTAAATCATATCATACAAATCATTTAAATAATAATAATAATAAGCATAAGCATATAATTCATTACTGTATGCATGATTTCTAAGCTTAAATATATCATGAATGAGTTAGCTGTCTAATTGTACTAACTACCAACTGCTTTAGAGGTATTTTGGTCTTTTTTCATACGTGGGAGGTGCCTCCTACGTCAGTAAGAAATGCTAATTAATAACGTAACTGATGACAACATTGCTTTTTCTGTAGATAAAGAAGGGGTGAACCCCTTCCTAAATTATCATCTAAAAACTTAACAAGGTGTGAGGTTATAAAAATTAATGGAAGTAGGATAGTTGGAGCTCATCATCATCATCATCATTTATCAGTTGAAACAAAACCCAAGATATCTTTTCCGTATTTGATATTCTAATTACTATCTAAAAAAGTTTTCTATTTTCAGCAATGTAATTTGATGATTTGAAATCACATATTAGCCGCTTACCCATGCAATTGCTTGGTTTATAAATAATTTAATCATAGTACGTACCCCTAAAATATTTAAAACTCGAATATTTTTTTTAATGAATATCTTGAGAACATGCTGCAAGCGTTCAATTTTTTATGTCATCCTTTCGTAAGTTTTCGTTATAGGATTTACAAGTTAATGTTATACAAAGATCAATAAAAATTAATAAGATAACTGTTTAATAACTGATGTACATTGTTTTTTATTAAGTCTCTGCATCCAATCCAATTGATAACACCAACTTCTAAAAACATGTCTAATTTGTGTAAAAATATTTGATGGTCATAAAGTGTTAAAAAGTTTGGAACAGTCGTATGCATAGTCCCTATTATTTCATAAAATTAAATTCTAATAACCATAATAGTTTTTTATTATTTATAATTCCAACCAATTAGTTTAGTTTTTCTTCTAATTCCATCAATTAAATACTTAAAAGTTTTAACATAAACCACTTTATAAGTTACTTTTTCTGTCTATTTTTTTCAGTATGAGATAAAAATCGTACTTGAAATCACTTTCAAATTTTCTTAATAATACACTTTTAACTTATTATCTTAACATTCTTAAGATTTCTAACATAAAGTTGTAAAAATCCACGACACTATCTAGTTCATCTGGCTTAAGAAACATAGAACTTTGTCATCGATAGGGGAAAAAATATTGAAAGAAACCAGTAGCAAACCTGCATGTGTTGAACTTACAATTTGACATGCAAGATCTACAGGTTAGGCAAGGAGGAAACCACAAAATCTAACTGGATCACCTGATCAACATATATAATACGACGTAAAATCTAAATGAGATGGGAGATAGATAAATAAAGACTCATAGGCAACACATACTAAGATATTATACTCAAGATAAAGGAATTCAAAAGTCTAAGCCTGTTCAGGAAAATACAGCAATTGATCATGTAAATTAAGATGATTATATTGATGGAGGATTGAGCTATTAATGAGGTTGGCTCATCCAGAATGCATATATGCTGTAAGTGCAATAATCAACTTTACAGCATTCTCCCAAATAAACAGATCAAGGCGCGAGCCAGCCATACCCGACACATATGGGCTAGACATACAGAAATTACAGTTGCAAATTGGACAATTATGCAGTATTTGTTTGGTTGCAAATGTTCCTTGCAATGTTTGCTGAATCTGCCAAGCTATGTTTATTGCTTTACAGGCACCATGAGGTCCGGGATCTAAGTGACATGTCCTCTACGAAATTCCAAAATCAGAACCGTACCATGTCAAATTAGACATGAAAAAATAACCAAACCGGGTGACCATCTTGAACTTCAAGATACTCTAGTCATCAACAAATATTCGAAGACAAATTCTAAAGTGAGGTTATAACGTCAGCCAATATCATATACAGGGATAACAATTGTGGTATAAGTTTGATGCGACACCTGTATATTTATCTCTTTCACTCAAAGCTAAAAGTCAAACTGCGCTAGCAATTATTAAGTGATAAATTACTAAATGAAGATGAGTTCTGCACCAGTTGTTTAACAGAGGTGTCTTCTCTGCTGAACCATTCAATTGTACTACTTTTTGGATAGCTGAATGGGTTGCTAATCTCTTCCTCCTCAACAATTTCAAGTACACATAATCCTACGCTGATTTAAGAGGCATTTGTTTATCACTACATTCTTAGGTAGGTGAAAACTCAGCACACCTAAATTTATAGTTCTAACTTTTTCTTCTTTTCTTCCTTTTCTTTTTATGAAAATATTTTTCCTATAATTACATTTCAATCTTCTTCTTCTTCTTCTTCTTTTTCATTTTCTTTAACGTTCACGGAAGTTCTCTTTACAAAACCAGTTGGTGCGTCCTTGTTACAAGGACTAGCTAATTGCACTCTTAGATCCATCAACTTTTAACAAGAACTAAACTTTCATAGTGTCTAACCGTCTATCCAAGAAATGATTTTTGTCCCAGTTATCACGCAGATGACAATAGAGGGCATTTTCAATCCTCAGGTGTTGACCTTGAGAAAGGATCCAAGTTGCAAATCACAACATAATGATGATTTAGTACATCATGATACATTGGAGGCAGGTTTCTGGTTTCCAGAGACCCTATAATAATGAGGTACACCCTCTATCAAAGGCCATCTTTGAACTGTAATAAAGAATAGAGCAGGGGTTGTGCAGGATCTAACCGTTAATCTATTTCAGGAATTCAGGACTGCCTTTAAGTTTTACAAAATATGAATCTATATAAGTTGGATCCGTGGAGATAATTGGCATTGTGAGTTATTTTGGCATCACATTCGAAAGCATCTCAAGGGTTTTTTTTAAGTAGAAGATTTAAATGCATCTTAAGTTGGTTGTCTAACTCACAACCAGCTAGAGCATTATTTTGGTGTTTGATAGATCACCAGCTCGATCCTTATTAGGTCATCCAACAGAGTTTTCCAGATTCGTACTTCTGCATTTGGATAAGTTATTAGTTCAATAGAGCATGACAATCTTTACCAGAGACAATGATCATTATGTTGCAAGATGCAGTATTAATTGTCAAAAATTGTTATCACATCCAAGCAACCCTAATCGCCAAGGAAATTTTTCTAACTGAATTATTGATACTATGATTAGCGATCGGACAAGATCTCCATACAACTCTCAGGTGACTGAAACTAATATTCAAATGGCTTCTATTTTGACTAATTGGCAGACTTCTCCAAGAAGAAAGTATACGAACAGGTGAAATACCCACTTGAATCATAATTTCTGAAGAGGAGATTCAGCTCACTGGAATGCTGACAAGGTAACTACAAACCAATAAAACTTGAAATTGAAAATTCCAGATAGCTTGATCCGAGAATTAAAAAAATTTCATGGACCAACACATATAGCAGCTACACCCAACGACCTCTTCACAAATACAAAATTCCTCCCAAGGGGAGTCGCGAGTGTTCCTAGTTATCCTCTCTAAGGAGTGAACAATCTTCTTACTTTGTGAATAAGCCTTCTACATATTGGACACATCTTGTTTTCCTCCTCCATTATCCTGAAAAAGACATCCTTTATCAGAATCTATGAGATTTAGATATGTCAAATAGAATACAAAGTCTCTTTCACATATTTACCTCTGAGCACAGTCATAGCATGTGGCACAATGGCCACAAGGAACAAAAAAACAGTTCCGTTGATCATCATAACAAATTACACATAATTTCGCATCATACAAGTCCTCTGAAGAGCTACTTGATGATCCTCCATCATCTTCTTCATTTGTTCCATAATTCAAACGAACTGGTTTCTCTGGCAATATTGGTTCAGTTTCAGAAGTTTCTGAGACTTGCGTCACAGCTGTTTCTCCTAGGTTACTGCTCTCGGTATCACAAGCCCCAAGATATTTCAATATCAGGAAAACAATGATAATGATAACTCCTGCAAAGCAGAAAATAGTTTGGGACTTGGTCACAGGTATTTTCAAAAGAGTCACCAGAGCATAAAAAAAGATATGCATAATACTCACCAAAAATGGCGATGTAAGTTATTGCGCGAGCCACAAAAGTTACCTCAATAAACCATCCATTTATTTCTCCCTGCAATCGATTCATTGATCAAGGTTCAGCTAAAGGAAAATTGTCAGCGAACACAAAAGGCAAGACAGGTGAGAAAGGATCAAATATCCCTTACATTATCAGGTGTTGTTACCACAACGTATTGAGTTTTGGGAAACAGAAGCTTAAGCCGGCAAGATCCCTGTGTTGTTGAACACATGTGCCTCGCTTTTGATAGCTCATGCACCTTGGATGTAACATTTACACTCAATGTCATTATGATGCTTTTAGGATTGGTGTTTATCAGACCAAAATAGAACTTATTATTCTCCTCAATCGTGTATTCAGCTTCTTTACCTGAGCAAACAAAGAGGCACTTATAGGTCTATTAATTTGAAGTCTGTGATCATAGCTCATTTTTAATTTCTTATAGTTTTATTCTAGCTTTCCTTTCTGTTACTCCATTATCACAGTCCAATAAGAAAACAACCAATTATGAGACTTTAAAAACACAAAGTGACAAAAATTATGAACTACCAATCATGCAGATTCACTTCAAAATAGTAGCACTAAATCCAATGGAATTCCTCTACGCGCCCCTCCCTTTTGCAAAATATATACTAACGCCAGTAACTATACGATCTTCTAAGGCACCACACCGTTTACAATCTTTTTCACTCCATGTACAGATTCTAAATTAATTATTTGAATAACAAGATTGGTGCAGAACGATTAGATGAAAAAAAAAATGACGGATGGATTACCACTCCAGGGTTCGCTGAGGTTGAGGGTATCAGGGGAACTTGTAAATTTTGGCAATGTTTCAAACTTTCGTTCTCCTGCAGAACCCAATGTGCTTAGGTTATAACTTGAAGCCAAAGTTACATGTCAGTTGGACCAATTTCAGCTTAGAAAAAACTCAAGAAGGAAAAATAACCTTTAATCATAACCAATTGTAGTTGATTTAAAGTACTGGTTCGAGCTTCCCATCTCAGTCGGATCTTTGAACCCTTGTTCAACCACAAGGAAAATCCCTGAAGAGAAAACAATAGAAGGTTTAGGAAAAAGGGAATAGCATTGCAATACATGAATTGATAATTTCAGGCGTTTCATGTGACCTTTTCACTGTAAGATGCAACAATCATATAGTTCGATACACTCCAATTCGTTTCAAAGCTCAGTTCAGGCTTCTCGTAGAACCCATACAAAAGAACCCCTTTATTATTTTCATCTCTCACTTCAACTTGGTCTACAAATACAGAACTGGCCTTCAACAGCCTTGATGAGCTAGGTCCAAGCACCATACGAGAATCCCCAAAATACCCATACCGTAGACTCACTGAAACTGCAAAAAAAATCAAAACCAAAATGCTTGTCTCAGATTGAAGGCGCAATTAAAGAGAAATTGCAATAGAAGATGGAAGAATTACATGCCAAATATCCAAATTGTCAAAGGGGCAATTAACCGTCCCCAAGTTTCTTGCCATCGCTGAAGAGAATGTCTAGGAGGTGGCATCACTGCCCTGAACTGGGCTGCTCAGTTAGTGAGAAGGGTAACAAGACGTTGTGGTTGGGTGAGGAGAGGAGATGATGGGAGAGAAGACCGGTAGGTTTAAGTACGCTCGTGTGTTTGCGTACTGGTGTCTTCAACTAACTGATTTATTTATGGTGTTTGGCGGGTAATTGAATGGCTAGTTTATTTTTTGAATGTTAGGTGTCAGTTGATGTTGCACTAGCACAGCTGGTTCCGGGAAAGGTCTGTTTAATGACATTAGAAGTCCATGCAGTATTGATTTTTGCCATGTATGTTTCATTATTTAAGTTTTTAGATTTATTTATTCATTTGTATTTCAGTTGGTAATATTTTGATCAAAAAATTTATCTATAAGAAAAAATTATCAAAAGAACAAATTAGAGACTGTTGTGAAAAATAAAAGATATATGAGAATTTAAAAGAAGGATGGCAAGAAGAAGAATTCACTATAAAGTGAATACAAGTGAGAAAACTTCAAGTTGTTCTCTTAATCTCTCTAAAAACTTGTACCTCAACAAATGAACAATCAAGCCTATTTATAGGCCTCAAAATTGAGATGAGAATTGGAATGGACTATGAATAATTAAAAGTACATCAATTGCATCACCCTTTCAATTTCTCAAATTGAATGGTGAATTGAATCACATTAAGGATCATGAGTAGTGGGGATATGAAAAGTAGATGGACATTCATATGGACATTCATTATTTTATAACACTCCCCTCGAATGTCCATTGTACAAGGAATATGCCTCGTTAAAACCTTATTAGGAAAAAACCCAATGGGAAAAAAATCCTAGTGAAGGAAAAATAATACATTATTCCTTGCACACATTAATACCTATTTTGGTCTCCCCTGTCGAAGACATTATTTAAGATCTTTAAGACGACGCATTCCAATCTTGTGAATCATCTTCTCAAAAGTTGTGGTAGGTAATGCCTTAGTGAACAAATCTGCTGGATTGTCACTTGAACGAATTTGTTGAACATTGATATCACCATTTCGTTGAAGATCATGTGTGAAAAATAATTTTGGTGATATATGTTTCGTTCTGTCACCTTTGATGTATCCTTCCTTTAATTGAGTCATGCAGTATGCTTATGCAGCGTATTGTCTTCATACAAGATCGTTGGAACTTCCTTGCTAGTGGATAAACCGCATGTCTTTTGAATATGATGGGTCATTGATCTTAACCAAATACATTCTCGACTTGCCTCATGAATTGCTAGTATTTCCGCATGGTTTGAAGATGTGGCGACTATAATTTGCTTCAAAGAACGCCATGATATAGTTGTATCTCCATATGTAAATACATAACCAGCTTGAGATCGAGCTTTGTGTGGATCGGATAAATAACTCCGCATCCGCATAACCAATTAATCCATTCGTTGATTTGTTAGAGGAATATAAGCCTATATCACTTGTTCCTCGGAGATAACGTAATATATGTTTAATTCCATTCCAATGTCTCCGTGTTGGAGCAGAACTATATCTTGCTAATAAATTTACGGAAAATGCTATATCGGGTCGGGTATTATTAGCAAGATACATTAATGCACCAATTGCACTAAGGTATGGTACTTCGGGACCAAGAAGTTCTTCGTTATCTTCTCGAGGTCGAAAAGGGTCCTTTTGAACATCAAGTGAACGAACTACCATTGGGCTAGTTAATGGATGAGCCTTATCCATGTAGAATCTTTGTAGTACTTTTTATATATATGTTGACCGATGAATAAAAATTCTATCTTTTAAGTGTTCGAACTGCGAGTCGAGACAAAATTTTGTTTTTCCAAGATCTTTCATATCAAATTCTCCTTTTAAATAATTTATGGCACTTAAAATCTCTTCGGGAGTTCCAATTATATTTAAATCGTCAACATATATAGCAATTATCACAAACCCCTTTTCGAATTTCTTTATAAAGACACATGGACAAATTAGGTTATTTTTATAACCTTCTTTTAATAAATAATCACTAAGACGATTATACCACATGCGTCCAGATTGTTTCAATCCATATAAAGATCTTTGTAATTTAATCGAATACATCTCTCGAGAATGTATTTTACATGCTTCGTGCATTTTAAGTCCTTTTGAAACTTTCATATAGATATCATTATCAAGTGACCCATATAAATAGGTCGTTATTACATCCATTAAATGCATATGAAGTTTTTCACATGCTCGTCAAGCTAATAAGATAGTGAAATGTAATTGCATCCATTACGGAAGAATATGTCTCTTCATAGTCAATGCCGTGTCTTTGTGAAAACCCTTGCGCTACAAGTCTTGCTTTATATCTCACAATTTCATCTTTTTCATTTCGTTTTCGCACAAATACCCATTTGTATCCTATTGGTTTAACATCTTCGAGTGTTTTAACTATGGGTCCAAAACTCGCTCGTTTTGTGAGAGACTTTAATTCTTCATGAATTGCATCTTTCCATTTAGGCCAATCATCTCTATGTCGACATTCTTCAATGGATTTAGGCTCAGGATCCTTATTCAAGATATCAATTGCCACATTATATGCAAAGATGTTATCAATGAATGTTTCTTTTCGATCCCATACTCTCCCCGTGTTAACATAATTTATCGAAATTTCTTGATTTTTCTCAAGCATTTGGGCTTCTTCCGGAAGCTTGTTATCAAAAATATCTTGGACCATTTTATCTCGTCTCCTTTATATTTTCATCTTGATTATTTTCCCTTTTTTTCTTTCGAGGATTTTTATCTTTAAAACCGATCGGTCTTCCACGCTTCGGGCGTGCTTTAGATTCATTTGTTATAACATTAATAGGTTGTCCTACTCGGGACATCAATTTTAATAAGAGCATTCTCGAGCAGAACATGTGATTTAGTTACTCTCTTTGGATCGGAGAATGCATCCGGCGCTTGGTTTGCAAGACTTTGTAAATGAATGATCCTTTGAACTTCAAGTTCACATTGTTTTGTACGGGGATCAAGATGATATAAAGATGAAGTATTCCATGTAATTTCTTTTTCCAACATTTCTAATCGCTTATTCTGTTTATTTTCTCCCCTAATGTTGGAAAAATTGTTTCATCAAAATGACAATCGGCAAAACGAGCCGTAAAAACATCCCCCGTTAATGGTTCAAGATATTTAATTATGAAGGAGATTCATATCCAACATATATTCCCAATCTCCTCCGAGGACCCATTTTAGTTCGTTGTGAAGGAGTAATCGGGACATATATCGCACATCCAAAAATCCTTAAATGAGAAATATTAGGTTCATGACCGTAAACCAATCGAAGGGGAGATAATTTCGATAACTTGTAGGCTCGATGCGAATAAGTGTTGCCGCATGTAAAATTGCATGTCCCCAAACATAAACAGGAAGTTTTGTTTTCATAAGTAATGGTCTAGCTATCAATCGGAGGTTTTTGATAAATGATTCCGCTAGACCATTTTGAGTATGAACATGAACAACGAGTTGTTCAACTCTTATTCCAATAGACATGCAATAATCATTAAAAGCTTGAGATGTAAATTCACCAAGCATTATCAAGGCGAATTGTTTTAATGGTATAATCTGAAAATTGTGCTCGTAATCGAATTATTTGAGCAAGTAACCTCGAAAATGCCAGGTTTCGAGTTGATAATAAACATACATGTGACCATCTTGTGGATGCATCTATTAAAACCATAAAATATCTAAATGGTCCACATGGTGGATGAATTGGTCCACATATATCACCTTGTATACGTTCTAAAAATGCCGGAGAGTCAATCTCAACTTTATTTGGTGAAGGCTTAATAATAAGTTTGCCTTGAGAACAATCAGAACATGAAAACTCATTAGATTGAAGAATCTTCCGGTTCTTCAATGGATGTCCATACGAATTTTCAATAATTTTTCGCATCATAATGAATCCAGGATGGCCCAATCGATCATGCCATAAAATAAAAGGATTAGTAAACTTCGGTTTACTATGGCATTTGTTTCAATCCTTTGAATATTTGTATAATAAATGCCGAAGAGAAAGCATGTAATTTCTCCAATACATATTTTCTACCCGATTTAATTTTTGTAATATATAAGTACTCAATATTCTCAACATTTGTTGTCTCAATATGATATCCATTTAAACGAATATCTTTAAAACTCAATAAATTTCGTGGGACTTAGGAGAGAATAATGCATCATCTATAATCAAATTTGTCCCTCCAGGTAGTAATATATTTGCTCTTCCGGAGTCATTAATTAAATCAACACTACCAGATATAGTGTTAACATTAGCCTTGCCCATCATTAAATTGGAGAAATACCTTTTATTTTTAAGTATAGTATGTGTGGTTGCACTATCCACGAGGCATAGATTCTCCTCCATGACGTTTAAACCAATTGCAAACTTGGTAATATCAATATATTCTTCATAAACACAAAAACAAACAAATAAATAAAAATGAAAACTAATATGATGAAATAAAACATAAAACTTCTTTATTTATCAAAAGGTAACAAAATTTCAAACAATTATCATTAACTTAATCATTTTTTCTTTCGTAATCTTCAAAGAAATCAACAACATCTAAATGTGTTAAGTTACCGAAATCTTCAAGAGGAACATTGTCACAAACATTATTTTGATATATAAAATTTGTCTCTATATCACTTTCTTTCTTTTTCAATGAGGCTTGATAAAGCTCAACTAGGTGTTTTGGCGTACGACGAGTACGCGACCAATGTCCCTTCATACCACATCTATAACATTCATTTTCGTAGTGCCGACTTGATCCACCT